TCTGCTTTCACAGACAAAAAGGAATACGTCGAGAGGGAAAAGTAAAACATATCTAAATTATTAGGAGTCACATAAGGAAAAATGATCCTCAGATTTTGCATACCGCAAAAGTGAAATAACAGTGAACAAGAAATGATTTATAAGGCATTGGGAACCAGGCAACAAAGAGCAGTGGTCTCTGAAAGACAGTGTGATAACAAATATCTACAACGTTCTATCAGGGAGAAAGCTTTCAGGTTTCTGAAAGAACTCAGCTCTTTCCAGAGGTGAGGAGATGAATGGGAGAACGTGTAAATGAGCTAGGGTGAAGGACTTTCAGAGCAGAAGGCTAGAGAGGGAAGCCGCGGGAGAAGGGACCCGAGACATCTTCGTAGTCAACTTGGCTGCATCTTTGAGTTTAAGGTCAGCCTGGTCTACATAGTGAGTGCCAGGCCAGCTGAGACTTCACAGTGAGACTTTGGCTCAGTTAACAACATTTGCTACTCTTGCAAAGGACTTGGGCTCAGGAACCAGCACCCACACAGAGGAACTCACAACTACTCTAGGTCCAGGGATCTCACACTGTCTTCTGACCTCTGAGGGCACCAGGCACCCACACGATGAACATGCATACATGCAGGCACTTACACATTCACATAAAATAAAGCTAAATAAATCTTTAAAATAACGTGAGACTGCTAAGTTCAGCCAGAAGGCAGCGGGCATTCAGGATTTTATATGTTTGGTTTTCTGATACTTTCCTCTGCTTTTTAAAGTGACATGTAACATTTCAACAAAAGTGAATTCAACTTGATTTATCTTTGGCAAATAATTCTTGACATACTTGTCTAGCATGTTGCAAAACCCAGCCTGAAAGTTCTTCATTTTTAATCCTTAGGATTGTAATATTTTTTTTTTTTTTGGTTTTTCGAGACAGGGTTTCTCTGTGTAGCTTTGCGCCTTTCCTGGAACTCACTTGGTAGTCCAGGCTGGCCTCGAACTCACAGAGATCCGCCTGGCTCTGCCTCCCGAGTGCTGGGATTAAAGGCGTGCGCCACCACCGCCCGGCTCAGGATTGTAATATTTTTAAAGCCTTCTGAGAAGTCCTGACACTAGAGCATGTCACAAGCACGGGTTAGCTAATTTGCTTCCACCCAGCAGCGAGGATAAGGACAGTGGTCCCTCAGATCTCTTTAGCTACTTGGGCTCTTGGCCTTTTAGCTTTCCCTCCATGCACTGACCAATGGTTTCACCATCTTGGCAGACTAGTTTGCAAACCCTTCAACTCCTGTCTGCCAAATCCAGATGCTCTCTTCCCCTCTCCACTCCTTGGTGACTAACTCCACACAACGTTGGGTGAAAATACACTCCCACGTGCCAGCAGTCAGTGTGTTAGCTGCTCTTCCGTGGAGATAGTCCCGGTGCCCAGGGCTAAGAGGTCAGAGATCTCAGTGCCAAACAACACTGCATCTTCTCTATTGGTTCTTTCTCAAAATTAATCTCCGCACAGACTCTGAATATTCTGTGTCTATTACTTGTTTTACCACCAGTTCTTACCCCGGCCACTTTTACTCTCCCTGAGTAGCTTAAGAACAACAAACATGGACGTTAATACATTCCGCTCTGCCCAACAATTCTCTCAGGCTCTGCAGAGTTCTGATCTTCTGCTGTATGTGTGCATCTTAACACAAGACCTACAGATCAGCACGCTTCCATAATTGATATTTGTTTTTAAATAAAATTTTAAATAAATATCAAGTATAATATTCTAAACAAAGTAATTTTAAATGTTTGTCTTCTATTAAAAAATCCAGAAATAAATAACTGTATTTTATATGACACATATGGGTATCCATAGGGCTTAATTTGCAAAATTTGGATTATAGAGTAGAAACATTCATTTTAGTGTGTCAGTCATAGTTCTTTTCTTAACTACATTCATTTATTTTGTGGGTTCATGAGTATTAGGTGTGTGTGTGTGTGTGTGTGTGTGTGTGTGTGTGTACCTGTGCCAGGTGGCACGTGGAGGTCCTAAGATAATTCATGAGAGCCATTTCTCTCTCTCCATCATGTGAGTTCCAGGGACTGAACTCAGGAGGCCAGGCTTGATGGCAGGTGCCTTCATATGTTGATCCATCTTGCAGAACCACCATTTATAGTCATTTATTTGCATCTATATCCTAATGTATTCTCTCATGGCTACAATGTGTTTTACTTAATAGTTTCTCCATTCAACATCTGAGTCGTTATATATGATGTAGCAACTAACATATTTACTCCTAACTACTTTTTTTTCCCTTGAGTTACAGTCCCAGAACTAAGATTACCCCATTAAAGACTGGAAGCACATCTGAAGCTCTTGACCGATGTTGTCAAATCACTCTTCAGCACCTTTCAACATTCTGCATCTTCAGGTCTGTTAGGATACACCACACTCAGAAGTGGGTGTCTCTGCAGAACAGGTAAGTCAGTAATGTGACTTCACTGCAAGTTATTTGCTTCATCAAGTTTGTGAAATGATCCTCTTTGGGTTCTTGGAACTCATTTTTCTAAAGTTTTACTTCTAATAAAACAACAGGAAAATCATAGCAGTTCTTACGCTGAGATGAACGCTCTCCTTAGTCACAGCTGTATAACAGTCGTTGTCCAGATGAAGAGACTGTCTCTAGACAGTCTGACCTCATCTGTAACCCAGCCTGACTTTGCGCAGATTCATCAGGTTTGATTCTTTGTAATATTTTATTTACTTTTCACCTCAATTATTTTGGTTTCACAGCAACCATTTTAAAACCAAGCACCCAAGACCTTTTCCTATGTTATAAATTTTTTTCTGGTATTTCCTTTTAATTTATGTTCAAAACTATATCATCATTTTATCAATTTCCTAAAAATAACATTTTGTTTGATATTGAATTAAATTCAAGAAAGTAGTATTATGTTTTCAAGCAAAATGTTGTCATGAAGTCCCAACTGAATGTGATTTCCTTCAACATGGACTCTTCATCTGTCTTATGAAGACGTGTGTGTTGGGGGGAATGAATTTTTGAATTATCATTTAATTGACCACATGTAGCACCAATTTCTGTAGATTTACTTTGTTATTTCTTAGTTAAATTGCTTTTCTAACCATTTTTCTAGATTTGCCAAACAGATATGTACTTGTAATATTTTTCTTTAATGTCTACTATTTCTTATCTGTACCATATCTTTTTTTTTTTTTTTTTGAGACAAGGTTTCTGTGTAGCTTTGCGCCTTTCCTGGAACTCACTCTGTAGCCCAGGCTGGCCTCAAACTCACAGAGATCTGCCTGGCTCTGCCTCCTGAGTGTTAGGATTAAAGATGTGCGCCATCACCGCCTGGCCCATATCTTTTTCTTGTTTTACTGAATTTGGTAAGATTTCTTGAGCAACATGTTAAATAAGTAAATAAGTGTTAGATAGTGATAGCATAGTCATTGTAGGGCTCATTCCTTCACCGTATTGGGATTATCTCTGGTGTTGAAGTGAGGGTGTGTGTGTGTGTGTGTGTGTGTGTGGTGCCACCAGTACAGGGATCGTACAATGAGTGTGCTCTCCCACTTTGATCCAGGCATTCTCTCAGGTTTCAGTTTCCAATGCTGTCATGTGTAGTTCACCAGGCATTAGAAACAACTATATATTCCCTGAAAGGTACAGCTATTGCACTTTGAAATCAAACGTATAAATTTGAAAAAGATTTTGAACAAATGGTGCAGTATCTTATTGCCTAATTAACTTTAAAATTCATTTCCCTAAGCGTCTCAGTCTTCAGAGATAAGATTATAATTGGCTTTTCCCAATTAGATTTATCCCACACTCCATTATTTTCCATTATACACGCTGGTTCCACCTCCTGCCACAATTTATAGCATTCCAAACCAGCACTCAAAAAAGTCACACTTGGAGTTGGTAAGTAGCAACATCCCAAGCTGAGAACACGAACACACCACCAACTCTACTCTCTTGGCTGGGACCTGGGAATTTTCCATGAGACTCTGGAGGATCTGGCAATGACTCTTTCCGTATCCTGAGTAGTCCTTCCTGAATGAAGATAGCCTCATGTTGAGTCTGTCTAGGGCTTCAAGGAACTAGAATCTTTGGAGGACAGAAATTGATGGGTAGAGTTTATCATATGCATCACTGGATATTTACCCAAACATATGCATGATGTAGGAGTGAACTCTAATGTCAAGGATGGATTTGGGTGATACTGACATGTCGGTGTGGGGTAACTGACTTACACAGTACCTCAGTCTGGTTCAGGACACTGATGTGGAGGCCGTGGGTGTGGTGCCAGGTGATGTACTGGAACTCTCTATACTTCCATTCAGTTTCTGTGGGATTCTAAAACTGCTTCAGAAGGTAAGGTAATTTTAGAGACCGTTGACTCTTCTGGGCTTCTGCTGATGCCTGACACTGTCCCTGAGCACCCTCTGGACATTGTTTAGGACTGAATCCTACAGTGCTGAGGACTGCTCTCGGTCCCTTCATCTGTCTTCCTGCTCTCTCTTGATCGTTTATGCTTGCACGTTCATCCATGCCACACTCCTGTGACGTGCTATCTGCCACTAAACTCTGAACCCCTCACTTTAGTCCTTTAAGTTCGCTTACCACTGGAGCTCCTCTTGTTCCCTTACCACAACTGATGCTATCACTGAGCCTGATCTCTGAAGCAAACCAAAGTTCTCATCTTCCTGGAAATCCTAAACCAAATATTTCAAGACTTGACCCTTATGGAAGCGTGGAAAACCATCCTATGAAACAGTAACACTGACAAGAGTTGTAACCGACATCCACATGGTGGAATCACCCCACTAACAATGGGTAGCCATGCTCTGCAGGTAACAGGATCGTATGCTGCATCCGACAGTGTGCTTTTCAGAGGACCCAAACTACAAACGGCTGTTTCTATCACAAGAACACTTCAATATTACAGTCTTGTTTTCCTCTTGTCTTTGGCTGCCAGGGAACTCAGTAAATGGGAGGACTTTGTTTTTTTTAAAAAAAAAAAACAGGATTGTTTGACATACATTGTGACTAATAACTTACTTTCCTATTATCTTTCCTTTGTCTTTATTTCCTAGCCAGTAGGTGATGTACACATTTTGCAAGCTCTCCTCTGCCACAAGACACTGAAAACTGAGAATACATTTTATATGACAATTTCACTCCCAGCACGAATGTCTCTGGCTTTGCAATTTAAGATGAATTTATCTATCTATCTATCTATCTATCAATCTATCTATCTATCTATGTTTTTCGAGGCAAGGTTTCTCAGTGTAGTTTTTGGAGCCTGTCCTGGAACTCACTTTGTAGACCTCAAACTCACAGAGATTCACTTGCCTCTGCCTCCCAAGTGCTGGGATTAAAGGCGTGCACCACCACTGCCCAACTGAATTTATTATTATTAATGTATGTGTGTGCGTGTGGGCATTTGTGTATGATGTATGAGTTCAGGCAATGCCATGGTAACGTGGGGTCAGAGAACAGTTTTGGGAGCTGGCTTCCACGCTGGGTTCCAAGGATTGAACTTCGGCCATCAGGCTTGTGGAGCGCATTGGTTACTTCCTGTTACTGTGATAAACACTATGACCAAACACAACTAATGGAAATCTAGAGTTTATTTAGCTTTTGGTTCTAGGGGGGTCCATAATGGCAGGAGAGGCATGGCAGCAGATGGCTAGAGCAGGAAGCTGAGAGATCACATCACCAACTGCAAACAGGAAGTGTAGAGGAAACCGGAGATAGGATGAGTCTGTGGACTTGCAGTCTGCTCCTAGTGAAATACCTCCTCCCCAGCACAGCTGTAGCACCTCCTCAAGCAGTGCTACAAACTGGGGACCAGGTGTTCAAATACCTGAGTCTTGGGCTACATTTCTCAGTCAAATTGTCACAGGCAGCAAGTGTTTTTACTTTGCTGGCTCTAGCTTTGAAGTTTATTCACACTGTGTCTTCCTCCCACCATTTGATACAGACTTAGGTCACACAAAATCAGGGAATACAACAATGCAGATGTTAGTTCAATTCAAACATAACTAAAAATAACCCATCATGCAATTAATTCTCAAGGCACCTGAAAATTACCCCAGTATTCGCCATATTGTTATTTCTACTACAACTGCATGTGTTCATTTTCCTTGGACTGATTATTATGTCTGGGGGGCAAAAATGGAAGGATAATTTGATATGGATGAAGACTTTTCTCTTCATAGGACAGTACATGAATCTGTTGGGATTGGATTTTTTTTAATTTTTGTTTTCATGTGATGGTGAAAGTAGAGTAGCTAATCAAGGAGAGTAGCTAATCACTCCCTTTGGTTTCAACACATCTGTTGTTAGTGCCAGGGTAAACTTAGCTTTTCCCATGTGGCAATAGAGGGTATATGCCACATCATTTTTTAGTTAGGGTCTTTTAACAATATTTAATTACCAAAAAAGATGCTTTATATTTATTAAGTGTGTTGTGAAAAAAATAAAATAAAGGAACACATGGATGAAGAATAAAAGCAAGCACTGGCAGGTGGAGTGGAAGCTCCTTGTGGGCAAAGAAGCAGCCATGTTCTGGAACACCTGTTAGAGAACACGCATTCCTCTCCATGTCGGAGTTTCCAGACTGTTAGAGGCTTTTATCATTCCTGGGAACACGTTATTTAAAGCCGAGCCCCCTTGAAGGGCCTCTGTTGAACCGGCCCCAAGAATTCTAGGCTCCTGGATGCCCTCCTGTTTGCCAACTGTTTGTCTTTACTATCCACATAGAAAAGAGGCCGAGAATTTCATGGCCAAGTTCCACCCTTCTCTGGGCAGGGTGGAATTACATAATTTGAAAAGGCCAGTGTGTATGTTCAAGATCCCCACAATAAGAATCAAGATACCAAGATGGTGTGCTGGGCTTCGCCATAAGCATGGGGAACCTCAGTTTGAACCCCAGAAGCCACCTAAAAAAAGCTGGGTATGGTAGTGTGCTATAGTAGTTGGTGCTGGAGAGGCAGAGAAAGGTAGATCTCTGGGTTTCACTCAACAGTTATCTGGTCTCATTGGTGCAATCCAGGCCAAAAAGACCTGTCTAAAGAATGTGAATGGCTTCCTGAGGGTGACACCAGGGTTACAGGTGCATCTGTATACACAAGAACAACACACACACACACACACACACATGACACCAGGGTTACAGGTGCATCCATATACACAAGAACAACACACACACACACACACACACACACACACACACACACACACATGACACCAGGGTTACAGGTACATCCATATACACAAGAACAACACACACACACACACACACACACACACACACACACACACACACACACGACACCAGGGTTACAGGTGCATCCATATACACAAGAACAACACACACACACACACACACACACACACACACACAGATTTAAAAAAAGTTTTGCAAGATTATGATAGCATTCAATAGCCTCAGCCTTCCTAGGAGTGGGACCATTTATGACCACACAAGTGGGACTCCTGACACTGGATTCTGCAGCTGCGTTCTTAGTCCTTGTTTCTGAACAAATAAATGAGTTATATTAGAATTGTAATTTTTTGTAGAAATGATGGAGATGGCTTATATTTCTGCTGTCTGGTACCCAGTATTCAACACGTAGCCAGTGTCAATTGCAGTCTGGCTAGTGCTAAGAGCCACCATACTTTCTTCATTTCAATGGCTATCAATTTAAATAGCTTCGTGGGAGGCAATGTAGTCAGTGGCTGCCATATTGGACAGAGCTACCGACTGAATCAGCCAAGCTAAAAGCAAGAGAAAACAGTTCTATTAAGAAAGGACTTGGGAAAGCAAACAAGGTCTTTCCCCTTAACTGGATCAGTGGGAGCAGCTAGGCTTGCCAGTTAGTACAGTGCACCTTCTAAACTCACACATGGAACAAGAAGTTTCTTTAAGCTACAAAACTGTGAAACTTGGAGGAGATCCCTGTCTTCAGAATCTCCCAAGGCAGAGTTCCCAAGGCAATAGAGAAGTCATCGAAGTCACCCAATCGTCTTTAGAAGAGGGTGACTAGGTATCTACATTGTTTGGTTCTATACATTTTACCTTTGCTGATACTTTTTTCATAGGCCAAGGACATGTTAAAATGTCAAGACAGTATTGTTCAGGAGGGAGGTCTGCAAAGCACTGTTAGTCACTATTGTTTAAAGGGACATTAGAAACTGCGCATCTAAAATAAAATGTATTCTTTGCTACTATCCGAAATTCCTTTGAGAAGATGAACTATTACTTTAGATTCCCTGTAGGATCACATTTCCTCAATGAAGATTACTGCCAGCCTGACTTAAAGATGTCTGCCTCAGCCTTTCCCAAGAGGCCTGTGTCCTGTCTCCCCAGCTTGGTTTTAGCAGCCCAGTTTTCTGCCTGGCAGCTCGGAGGGGCTGACGCTAACACTAACCACCTCACTGTCCTGATTTAAAGTTTGAGCTGAGACTATGCCTTGTTGCCAATGATATTTATGAAAAACAAAACAGTCATCTAAAAATATTATACAATGAATACTGCTGTATGGGTGAACAAGTTTTGTTTCATATTTTTATTTTATTTTAGTCATGAGTCATGACCTGAGGTCCCAGCATGCATGTGCAGGGAAGGCACACACTATTTCTTCCCAGTAGGTTAATTTACAAATTTAAATTTTAAAAAACAGGCAGGCAGATGAGACTTGGACATTTTCAGTATTTGAGATGACCGTATGTGCCTCTGTTTCTATGGCCTGCACAGGGCTAAACTACAGAGCAACCCATGAGGTGCAAGAGCTGGATGAGGTAGATTCAACGTGAGCATAAGAAGTAGTAAGTGGGGTAAAGGTGATTTAAAAGTGCTGATTAGTCAAAGGTGACGGCTCTCGCCTTACAACCTTGGCATGTAGCAAGCTGAGGTGTAGGACAGGAGCAAGTCTGAGGCCAACCTGGGCTACAATGTGAGAGAGACCCTGAGAAACATAGCTCCGCCACTGGCAGCCATGTGACCTTCAGTGTGAACAGACTTGTCTCCTCAGAAGCATCAGGCTGTGTATCCTGTGTCTGTGCCGTGTCCACCTCTGTGCAGACAGTAAAGATGAGGCTGTTTCTAGAATGGGGAGTCGGGCCAACTTCCCTTTCTGGTTTCACTAGTACCTGGTTTCCTGCAAGTCAGGCACAAAACACAGTCACTGTACAACTGTAAATATGAAGCACAAGGAAATCTTGGGCAGCTGCACCTTTGAAATAGGAAGATCTTATACTAAACATAAAATCAAGCAAGCCAAGTGTGACCTGAAGTTTCCAGAACAAGCCTCATCACCGTGAAGGATTCTATAATACGGCTGGTGGTCAGAACTTCTGAATGTGGAGGCTTGGAGTGTTGCAGATACAAAACCAAAATGTTCTGTTGTCTTTAGCCCCCTTGACAGTTGGTCACTGCCCATCTCTGTTTGAGTCAACGTCTATCCCTGTGACTAGTAGGTAACCATCATGTCCTAATAGACGACTAGCTTCCACTAACCCAATGTCATCAGTCTCGGAGGCCTACTGTGGTGGTATTGTATTCCCCCAAATATTGTGCACCCTAATAAATTTATCTGGGGGCAGAGAACAGACAGCCACTAGATACAGAGGCTAGAAAATGGTGGCACTCATGTCTTTAATCCTAGCATTCCAGAGACAGAAATCCATCTGTTCAAGGATACAGCCAAGTATGGTGACTCACGCCTTTAATCCCAGACAGTGACGGCAGAAAGAGAAAGATATATAAGGCGTGAAGACCAGAAACTAGAAGCTTTTAGCTGGTTAAGCTTCAGGCTTTCGAGCAGCAGTTCAGCTGAGAGCCATTGGGATGAGGACACAGAAGCTTCCAGTCTGAGGAAACAAGACCAGCTGAGAAGCTGGCCAGGTGAGGTTAGCTGTGGCTTGTTCTATCCCTCTGATCTTCCAGTGTTCACCCCAATACCTGGCTCAGGTTTGATTTTATTAATTAGAACTTTTAAGATTCCTGCAACAGCCTACTGCAGGCAGACAGTCCCCAACTGCTGTAAGCCGCCAAGCTGATGCTCCCACAACGGATGTGAAGCCAGTCTTGACCTACAGTCATGAAACTGCTACCTAGTGAAAAATGGTATTTGGGGTCATCTGTGCTCCCAACCTAATGGCCCATAGTTGGCTTCGGTATAATCTCTGAAGTGTGAGGGTTGCTTTTTTGCAAGGACACAAATGATCACCCATGTTTTCCTTCTAATACACATGTGCTGAACAAGCCCTTCTGTATTAAATCTCTCAAGCAGTCTGCCCTTCATCTTTTTGTAGGTTAGCAAGTCTTGAAGGCATTCTCAAGAGGTAACGAGAAGATCATGTTTTAGGGAAGTATGTGAAGAATGCAACAATGCATCAGTGTACCTAGGAGATGCAATTCTCCTAAAATCCAATGCTTAATGAATTGGGGGAGAGTGTGCGAGCAAAAGCCTTTGAGATACCATGGAAAGTGTAGGCCGTCCAAGTGATCTTGTGTGACAAATTTTTCATTTGTCACATGCTTTATTAGTATTTACACAATCACAGAGCTACTTTAAGAAGAGGGTCCATGGCTTCTCCTGGGACTCTGTGACAACCAACATCTTTGGCCTTGTAGGTCCTAGAGGTCATCAGGGCTTGATACTGGGTGACTCCTGATTCCTCCAGCCAGGTATCTTTTTGTTCATGCAACTCTAAGAAACAGTAAATGCAAAACTGATAGAGTATCAGAGCACTCCTTTTTGGCCTCAGATATTCTCCCACCTAAAGGAAGAATCTGATGAAAGTATACCTTCTAAACAGTTCAAATGAGACTATAAAGCTAGTCCACAGATGAGTATGAAAATATAGGCATTTTCTTGAAATAGTGACATTCTGCCCACAGTGCCTCTGTTATGTTCATTCAAATCATTCTTATACTCTGAAACAATGAAGCTTCTCATCTGGTGGAATGCTGCCAGGGAGTTTGAAGAGCACATAACCAAAGGCAGCCTTTAAGTTGGCAGGGGAATGAATGGCTGCCTTATCAGCACAGCTGAGGCTGTAGACAATCAATAGCAACGGTCAGCTCGCAGGGCCTCATATACAAGCTGGCCTTCCAGCCCCACAGGACAGCAACCTCCGGCTTCTGGCACCTTCAGACCACATGATCTGACAACAAAGACAGCCTCCTGGCGTCGTGGGTGGACACTGAAGACCTCCAATGGTGCTGGCAGGACCATAAGACAGCTGCCAGTTAATTTGAATTACCGAGAATCCTGCCAGGTTTCAAGTTGACCAGCTATCATTAAGATAAAGAAAATACTTAGAATGTATTTATGCTGATTCCAAACCTTCTTGTGTTATTTTAAAGGCCATGAAAACGATCAATCAGCCTTCCTTCTTATGGAATGAACCCTTGATTAGTTTGGTTCAAAGGGTTCTGGATGAAGAGTATTTGGTCTTGTTATGTGGCAGTGTTCTGCTTTTGTATATAACAAATACATCTCCCACGTGGAAGCAACCAACAAGCCAGAGTTTCATTAAATAAATTTATTTGTTAAAATAATTTAACTCCAAATACAACTGTTGAATTTGCATTGAGTTATAACTACAATTCATGTTTCAATTGAAATGTTGGGGCTTACTCGACATTGTTACAAAACAATAAACTGTTGTTCAATTTTAAATGGTCAGTTGTATTAGAGTTCAACAATTAACTGTGAACTGTATCTCTGGGAACCCCCAAATCAATAATGGTAAGTCTGTTTTCAAAATCTCCTGCAGCCATTCTAGAAACCCTGATGGAGGATTAACGGATGCACAAGGACAAGTTAAACAGAAGGACCCCACAGTCTTTAACATCTGATTGGCTGAGGAGACAATTAAAGCTTAACCAGTGCTAACAGGGGGCTACTGATGGAGAACTGGGAAACCAAACAAACCCACAAGCAGCAGACAAAGCAGCTTCACATTCACCAGCAACACTCACACTGGAAAGCACAGAGCAGACGCCCTTGGGCGACACGCGGACGCAAGCATCAGTAGTTTTAGCACAGAGAGTGACGGCAGCTGCAGTGATCGGGTCAGACCCCAACTCTACAAAGCAAAGGGTGGGAGCATCAGAGCACCTTTCAGTGGTGGAGGAAAGACCCAGAAGGCTCCCCAGCACATGCTGGCTTGTCTCACGAAAGCTCACGGTGGAAAGGCATCAGTTACCATCACTACCACAGCGTAAAAGAACCCACAAGTTACACTTTAAAAGAAATAAATCTGAAAAAAAAAAAAACCTGCCTTTTGATAAATGTTTAAGAAAAAAATCAAAGAAAACTTGGTAATAGCTAAAGAAAAAGTGGGTCTTTGGGTCAAACCATAATATTCTTAAGGCATGTGAGAACAAACTTTCATTTATCTAGTTCCTAGGTGGATCAGGGCTTTGAAGAAATGGCAGGTGGAGCCACTAGTTCTCCTCTGCGGCCTGCTGTTCCACACGCCAGTGAGTGTCGTGGTCCTGTCCTTGGGCTCTGATTCCCATCTTGGCAAACATCATGCACAGCAGTCAACAGAGAGAGGGCACAGCAGAGTCTGTGTTGGGGAAGTGATGCCTGGGCACTATGAAGGACCGGTGCAAACACCTGGCCTTAGGAACGCCTCTCAGGAAAGCCTGCCTGAGTGTACGACAAACACTTCCACCTCACACCTTGCCAGGCTTCTCACACGTTACCCTTTTCCTGTCTGCATGGTCATCCATGATGTGAAACTGTGAACCGGTATAGCTGCTTCGAATACGCAATATCATAAACTGCTATTCATTATGGGAGTTTAACAATCAGAACTAGTCTCACAAGTTAGAGGCCTCAGGCCAATGCACTACCATTTCTATTTCAGTAGATAAAACATACTCCTTGAATCTGATTTCTCCATATGTCTGAGTCAAATAGCTTTCATATGATGAACTTTGTTCCAAGAAAACTGGTTAGAACTTTTTGCCCTATGAATGCAGTGCCTCCTAACTGGAGAAAATGACAGTGAAGATAAAAACATTCAGACTCCCTAACACCATGACCTGGTTTCACCCACGTTACTTGTTTATTTATTTGTTTTTCTCACATATGACAAACACCACTGACCTTTTTTTTTCTCTATCTTCTAAGCTTAAAGCCAGTTACTAAAACACTTGCGGGGGGTGGGGGTGGGGGTGGGGGTGGGGGTTCAATGGCTTATAAGAGACTAATAATTTAAAAACGCTTTCTTATACATTATGTTCTGTAGTATAGATTCTCAGTAGAGGCAATGATCTCTGAATTGTGCCAAATTCTTAGGAATAAACACACATGCACACACAAACACACACTCTTCTCTCAGTTACACACATAAGACTAGGCAGTTACTTGCACAAGACTGTGGAACCAGGAAGGTGTGGGTGCCAAGTATGTCCAGGCTCAGCAGCACTGAGTCGGAAGGCCTAATGATCTCCAGAGGTGGGCTCAGGTGTTCGCCAGCACTTATATCTCCTCAAGTGAGGCGAGAACTCTTCTACATTGATCGTGAAACTCCTGAATAGATTTTTTCCTGTGCCATTACTCATGCAAATGATAAACACTCCACGGCTATGGAAACCAAAAATGCTGAGCTTCAGCACCCTTTCAGAACAAAAGCTTCAGTCTAGATGTATGGGCCACTTCAGTAATCAGGGCAGAACAGGTACAAGAAACCCTTCCACGATCCTCCAGGGAAGGGAGATGAAAAGGTCTTGTCCCCTTCCATTCCACTCTATAGTAATTTATATTCTACTTTTAAGCCCAAATTACTTCACAGATTATTCAATCTGTTTTTGTTTTGTTTTATGCCTACAATAAAGCTCTGTTACAGCAAATTGGATTTCCAAAGCAGGTGAGCCAAGGGTCACATTGCAACCATAGCCCTTAAAGGCTGCTTTCATGAACACACACACACAATGTCAAATATTTGTACTGTTCTGTGAGGTGTCTGCAAACGGGAACGTGTGGATGTAACATGGCTTCATTTTCCTTCCACGATGGTTCTGGTTAATCGACTCGTTAGTAAGGCTAGGCAACCTCTCCATCTCAGTTGCTTCCTTTTTGCTCAGTACATAGACATCCCTGCTCCATTAAGAGAGGGTGGGTGTGCGCTTTCAACTCTCATGAGCCCTCATAGAGGCTATTTCCTGTGGCAAAGCAGGTGATTCAACAATTTCTAAAGCCAGACTGGATTTCATACAGCCTTGTTCTGACTTTTACTCTACCGAGGATTGATAGGTAAGTGGATTTCATGTCACAAATTAGGAAAACACCGACAATTAAGCATCAGTTTGAACAACAGAAGTGTGTCAGCTGAGCAGACTCTCCCTGCAGGGCTGTTGGCAGGCAGCTGTTCACCTGGTGGGGTACACTGGCTGGAAGGCCCATCAACTCACGACTTCAGCACGCTTGTAGGAAAATATTTCTCCTTTACCTTTTTTTTTTAAAGACAACAAAATATTTTAATTGTTAGTGGTTATAGGAATTCCTCTGGTTTTTCTCTCCTGATTATTTTTAATTAACACAACAGTGGCGTCTGCCAACTCAGTGGCAGTACCATCATCACTTCAAATGAGATCACCCTGAAGCTCAGCGGTGTGCCTTCAGGTTGCAGATGCACAGAAGACTCAGGACAGTGGTGGAAACTGCAGTCACTGGACCCACAGGGACTCAGAGGCATCAACTGACCATCCAGCCTGAGGGCTGCGGTGCACTGTGGATTCACACCACCCACCCTACAAACCGCGATGGGGTAGACAGGTTGCTGGTGCCTACGAGTCCAGACAAGTCCTGTCCAGGACAGCCATGTTCGATGCTATTGTATGTTACAGGCAGAACAGCACGGGTCGTCCTTGTCAGGCTGAGCGGCATAGTTCATCTGCCTCACAATTTCTGCAAAGAGTTCGTCCACCATGGTTTTACTCTTAGCAGAAGTCTCCATAAAGGGGCAGCCCCACTCTTCGGCCAAGGCACGGCCTTCATTAGAGGACACTTCTCTCTCACTCTCCAGGTCCACCTTGTTTCCCACCAGGATGACTGGCACCTTCTCATACCTGAAAGAGCACACATATTGCAGCAGTTAGCAGGCAGGAGAAACAGACTCTTTTTTTATAGTGCAGTATAAACGGTCTCTTTAGCCACATGAAAAATGACTTGCACCAGTTGGCTTGGCATCCACCTAGGGCATTCTGAAACTGTTCTCAGAGGGGATCATAAACGGACTTTTCAAACGATGTTTTCAATTAATCAATTATGTATCTTGTCCAGATACACTTGGGGAATCGTCTCAGCTTCTTGGACGGACTTCTCTTAATTTAAGGCTCTCTGTTCCATGAGATACTTGCTCAGAACTTGAGCAAGTCATTCGATCACGGCTTTACTGCTAACATCGTTGCCAGTATTTCACTCTACTCTACAAGAACACGAAACAAATCATGTTCTAAATAGCTCCTGAGCACAACGAAGAAAATGAAAGCCAAAACTGAAATAGAGTTCATCAAGATCAGAAGCATCACATAGAAGCACACCCTACTTCCTCAGCCAGCAGAAAGAAAAAGTGAAATTTTTTTACAGTTAAGGATTAAAAATTTTAGTCATTAGCTTTATGAGATGTTGCCTCTCTTTCTTCTGACCTAGAACTTTGAAACCAACAAATGATAAGAAAAGAATAGAGAAACAGAGGTCCCAAGTCACACTGGCACCCAATAATTCTTCTTACAGCGGGTGCTCCACAAAGAGCAGGACAGGAAACCTGTCAGAAGACAGAAACACGCAGCGCTGCTCAGTGTTTATGTACCAGGTTAGTTCCAAGTTCTCGTGCTGTTTTTTGAGACAGGCCCTCACTATGTAGCCCTGGCTGGCCTGGAACTCTATACAGACCAGGCTCAGGCTGGCTTTGAACTCATAAGCAATCTGTCTGCCACTGCCTCCCAAGTACTGAGATTAAAGGCATGTACCACCACTCCCAGCCTTTCATCTTAAAAGTTACTTCAAAGCTTTTTTGTTGTTTTGTTTCTGTGATTTTAGTATAAATCAGTGCCATGTATATGTTTGGCAAGACTGTATGGAGGTCTTACACGATCTGACCAAAGACAGCTAACCTTCCAAAGAGAGAAGCAGGCAAGACCCCACTGAGGCACAACTCCCACAGCATATTTGGAAATGGAATTATGGGTAGGTTCCCCCACATAATATCTATACAATTTCACTGTTCTGTCAAGATGGTTCTTCCTACTTACCCTAAAGCCAAGTGTCTCCCCACTGGACACCTATGTTTCCTTTGGCAAGAGAGCAAGTTAATGGCCTAAGTGAGGGTCCATTCCAGGCAGCAACACACAAGAGCAACAGGAAAGTAAGTGGGAGCACCCGGTGTGGTGCTCACGCCAGCAGTCCCAGCACTAAGGAGACAGGCTGGAGGACTATTTAGTCTGAGGCTAGCACAGCTACACAGCTAGACCCTGTCTCATAAAATAAGAGGGCTGGGGAGACCGTGCAGTCAGTAAGGTGCTTGATTGCAAGCAGTAAGAACCCAAACTGAATCCCTAGAACCCACGTAAAGAGCCAGGCACAGCTGCACATGCTTCTAATCTCAGCTCTGGGGAGCCAGTGAAGGGAGGATTCCTGGGGCTCAATGGCCAGCCAGTCTAGCTTAACTACAGGACAATGAGAGACCGTTTCAAAGATGGACGGCACTCTTCAGGATGATGTGCAAGGTTGTCCTCTGGTCTCCATACATACAGGAACATGCAAAAACACACATACATGTACAAAAAAAGTAAGGCTAAAAGAGTGGGACAACATCAAGGTGTTTCTTCCGGGAACATAAGGGCAGCTCTGATCTGCATCAAAGTAGCCTGGATGAACTCTGGCACACTGTCCCCGTGGCCTCTGCACACGACACAGGGACTAACACCTTCTAGTTCAGGACTCTTGCACACACACACTGGCCTCTGGGGGCAGAGATGATAATGAAGCTGCAGTACAAAGACCCATTTACCAATTTACCAGCCACGGTCCACATGAGCTTTACCTGGGGACTGAGCAGCCTGACTGTGAGATGATACTGCTGACCATGTCAGATGTCAGTTTCTAATCTGTTCTATCCACGAGGATGCCTCTGCACTTCCCTTTCCTTCTTGCTTGTTAATGGAGCGACTTAGGAAAGGTAACAAGGAAAGCTTACTGAGCTGGAGTTGACACCTAACCAGCCAGTGCTAAAGCAGTTCCTCCTGACGCTGGGCTGGGGAAAGCACACACGAGCAGGAAGGTCAGGACTCCAAGGTCACCCTCAGTCACACGGTGAAGCAGTGGCCAGCCAGCCTGAGGTAGACTGCAAACAAACAGTTTCTGTTTTATTAGATAAGAGAAAACATCTTAAGGAAGATTTTAAGGCTTAAATACAATGCTATATCCTACTTTACACTTAAGAGAGACATACTTTTAGTTGAAATGTACAAGATCTAATAGAATATGTGGATTTTTCAAAACGTACAAACATATCCAGATAACAGCAGCAGGCTGATACATGTGCCTTCTAGTCTGGAGGTTCAAAGTTACAACAGACAGGGTAGGCCAGCCTGCCAACGCCGCCTCGCCTTGACCAGGCTGACAGCCAAGTGCCTGGCACTGCTCTGCAGTCAATGCTCAAATGGGCAGGCAGACACGGGGCCTCATGTAGTGGGGTCCAATGGCTACTAGTCCATGTAGTAATAAGGGTGAAAATCCAGGCAATGTCAGAGAACCTTGTACCTCTACTAACTGAACTGCCAATAGTCTTTCCAGCCACCAGGGTGTTAAAGATGCTAGAGAAATGCAGATTAATAACCTGAACAAGAAACTTGACACAAAAAACAAAAACAAAAAATGTGTATTTCCAAATACCGGATGGTAATGGATTTTATCTCTCTGTTAACACTAAAATTTGGGACAGTGGAAAATATTATAAACTATGGTTTGGATGGAGCTTTCCCTCCTGTCCATGAAAGGCTGCAGGGCTGAGCACAGCATTTCCTGATATCTGAGTCTCATCTCTTTGTTGGTAAAATGGAGTTCAAGTATCTGCTCCCTCTTAGTGCAACGGAGCCGCCAAACAGGCCAGATGAGCCAGTTCAGGGATCCAGATTAGATAGGATGGGACGGTGCCCGCCCCCTCCTGCAGTGCCCATCCTGCAGTGCCCACCCCCTCCATCCTGCAGTGCCCGCCCCCTCCTGCTGTCCCCACCCCCTCCTGCTGTCCCCATCCCCTCCTGCAGTGCCCTCCCCCTCCATCCTGCAGTGCCCACCCCCTCCTGCTGTCTCCACCCCCTCCATCCTGCAGTGCCCTCCCCCTCCATCCTGCAGTGCCCACCCCCTCCATCCTGCAGTGCCCGCCCCCTCCTGCTGTCCCCACCCCCTCCTGCTGTCTCCACCCCCTCCATCCTGCAGTGCCCACCCCCTCCTGCTGTCCCCACCCCCTCCTGCTGTCCCCATCCCCTCCTGCAGTGCCCACCCCCTCCTGCTGTCCCCACCCCCCCTGCAGTGTCCACACCCTCCTGCAGTGCCCACCCCCTCCATCCTGCAGTGCCCACACCCTCCTGCAGTGCCCACACCCTCCTGCAGTGCCCACACCCTCCATCCTGCAGTGCCCACACCCTCCTGCAGTGCCCACGCCCTCCTGCAGTGCCCACACCCTCCATCCTGCAGTGCCCACACCCTCCATCCTGCAGTGCCCACACCCTCCTGCTGTCCCCACTTATGTTAGACCAAGCTTGGCAGAAGACAGTGTTGAGTTCAGAAATCAAGAGATGGAGAGATCTGCTGAGGAAAACCAAACTGTGCCAAGGGGTTAGGGTTGTGAGGTAGACACAGACAAGAGAGAGGGAGCAAAAGCAGCACCATGAAGCAACCAGACACGCCTGATCCCTCTCTGTCTCTTGCTAAGGGTCAGAACAAGAAGCAAGACAAGCAGAAATGAAATCTCCAAACACAGGGCCTTAGAGAAGATACTAACAGTAGCCGGAAAGGGCTGGGACGACAGGGAGGGTCCTCCATGGAAAGGTAAGACCTGGAAGAGCTGGGTCTCCTTGGGACGCAGATGAAAAGACAAGGGAAAGAGGCAAAGCCTTGGGCTGACAGGCCACAGCAAACTGGTCTGTCTACTGCTCTGGCAATATGGTGTGTTTAAGAAAAAACAACACAACTCCCAAACCAGACCAAGACTTTAGCCTCAGAAGCAACTCTAGCTAATTATATGACTTAGATCAATATAATACAGTCTCTGAAGTCCCTGTTTGTTGGACTAGGTCTAAAGCATTCTTAAACCTGAAAGTTAAAAATCACATCACACATGGTAGACCAACCCACAATCAACACCTACACATTACCAGGTTAATGGCTGAGTGCTTGGCACTGTTCTGAGAACACAAGCAGGCTGATCTTTAGAAGAGATATTAAAGTGCACTTGAAGGGTGGAGTCAATAAGGATGAGAAAGTCTTAGGAGATCTTGTGGGACCAGAGTACTGAGCAGCTACTGTTAGTGTATCCTGACTCTAGCGGGAAGGATGCATCCAGGAGCCATACAGCAATCCTATCTACAGACAGCGCATGGGATGCTTTAACTTGTGATACCTAGGGCTGCCCTCAGGAATTCTACTGTGCAGTGTAGAAGAGTTGTGGTGTATAATCAGTAGTACTTTGGGTCATACACTGTCGTCCATTCAACCTATTTATTTGCTAAGAGCCTATTACATCCTAGACACTACTGTGCCCACTTACGATGCACAAGAGACAAAGACATCCACCCTCATGCTGATTATAGCCTAGCAGAGGGAACAGGTGCTAACAAAAAAGATAGTAAGTCCAGATTAGTGAGAGACAGAAGAGCCAGACCAGAGAGCATGCTGGGGCACAGGCGCCATCCTAAGAAAGATAGTGCAGGCCTCACTGGGAAAGTGGCATGTGATATCAAGTGAAGGGGTAAGGCATCTGTCACTTAAACATCAGGGAAAGTGAGACATGGACTAGATGTTCAGAGTCTGTTGGTTCAATAAATAGCAAATGGTTTGTGGGATCCAT